AATCTGTTCAATTTTCGTCTGGTTATTTTTTTCTATCCCTGCGTAAAATAAAAAAAATCGTTTTTCAATGATCCGGCCGAATTCTCCGGGAACGCTCCGATAACAGATTGAATCATCGATCGGTCCGGAAATGGGAAATAATCGAATTTTCTAATTTTCACGTTTTCGTCGAATGAAAATAAATAGGCGATCGGTCTCGATGTCTTGCCGTTTATCGCGTTCGTATATAATTGTCTCTCTTCTAATGGTCACGCGCTAGCCCGTTTAAATCTGGAGAGTTCACAAATGATCCGTAAAAGTGGAAACGTATTTAAACGAAGGATTTCGCACGCCGACACGAGGGGATTGAGAGGATTTCGTTTTTGCTATTGGATCAAAATTTATTCGGAGAGATTTATTCCTCGAGATTAAAAACGAGAAAAAGAAAAAAGAAAGGAGAAAAAGTCTCGAATAGCACCCGAGTTTGAAAGTTTATTTGCGAAACCAGTGTTGGCGGGACTCGATAAGAACTGGAAACTTCGAGTGCTCGCGTTTTTTGAACAAATGCGAAACGAGAGCAGCGATGATCGAACCTTTCGTTAAATTCCACGCGAGCTACGAATCTACAATTTTCATCGCATCCCTCGAACAGAACTACAGAAACTACGCGGGAAGAAAAATCGTCGACACGAAGAGCATCGGTACGTATTAGCAGGAGTTCCTTTTGCGAGAAAATATCTCGCAAGATATAACGAGAAATGTTCCGAACTACCGTTACTGCAGGCTCATTTGCATAAAACGCACCTAATTACGGAATAACACTGCCGGAGGCAGTTTCTCTCCGCAAAGAGCACGCCACAGAAGGTTTACTCGATGCTACAAGAGTTTTAATATTTCCTAAAAGGAACTTGCAAAAATTAGCGGGACCACACGCACAAGCAGCCGTCCTGGCGCCCCGCGCGATTTACTTGCGAATTAGCTGCTGCAAGCTATCAGCTGCAGAACCAGTTGAACGTTAACAGACGTACTCGAACCGAACGGAACACTGTCGTATAATAACATTTGCGTAATGCTAGCGAGACGGGTGCAACACAGGTGCAGGCCACGGTAGCAGAATTGACAAACACATACACAGAGAGATAGAGAGCCAGAGGTGGAAGGCAGTCTGGAACATGAGCGGAGCCATATGAAAACCATGAAGCTCCGAACGAACTTTCGAGTTGCTCTAATGGTAATGGATACACCCAACCCTCTTCTAGTCTCTCGACGAACGCAAAATCTGGAACATCTTTCGAACACTCGGCGCAAACTACTTCTCATCCCCGAGGAGGCTTACGGGTACATCTAAGGCAACCGTACGCGGGACCTGAACTTCAGGAATTTTTTCCACCGGAGAACTTTCTTTCACTGGAAAATTCATTATACGCGTCTCGAGCTTCGCGTTCCTCTTCATCTATTCTGTACATTTCGTTTGGACATCGATAAAATCGAACGAGTAAATATTTAATAATCAAAGTACGAGTAATTCTACGTTAAATAAACTGTTAACTCATACGAATGTTAAATATTAAATTCTTCAAGCGGCGAATGTATGTTTTCAAATATTGAATCCGTATACTCGGTATTATATAATTACGCATCACGTCACGTAACGGTCAAACGCGTCTCCCTTCTATTTTCATTATTATTATTTACTCGCAAATCGATAACGTGAAATTCAAGCGGTGTGCAAGCGGGCACGGGTTACCGGTCCGTTTATATTGATTAATTTACCAGCGTGGATGGAATATTAACTGAGCATTAAAAAAAAAAAAAATAAAATTTCTCGCTGGAACATTTCCGGAAAATATTTGGGAAACTATCGCGGGGGCCGCTCGCGATTTATGTGCTCTTCCATGTTTTATTAATTGCGCTGTTTTCAAGAAACAAGTAAACGTTTCTGTTCTCGTAGCAGAATTCATTGTTTAAACAAATTGTGGTGGCTGACGGGTGAATAACAGAGATTCGGGTAGTATTATGTTGACATGAATATCTACGAAATTAGATTGTCTATTTATTGGATTGTCCAGATAGTTCGTGCCAATTTTTAAGAAACACTCGAAGACACGTTTGAATTTCGATATGTGTTTATTGAATTATATATGTACCATTCTGTTCCACAATTTTTCCACATGTTATTTGTTTCCAATCATTCCGATATATTCAGACCTGTACCGCCTACTAAAAATCGCCATGAACTTTCCAGACAACCCAATATATAAACACGACCACTATATATAAAATAATATATAATTATATACAATAATTACAACGATATATAAAATAATTGAGCGGAACTCGCGAAAGAAACTTTCGGGACAACCTAGTAGAAAGAACGAACAAAACATCACCGTTATTTCTGACACGCGGCATTCTACGCACCCACATTTTTTTTTTTTTTTTATTCATCTTCTTACTTTCAACAAATATACCCCATCTATTTACCTCCCCATTTCGCATTTCTATCGTTTTTAATTGCTCCCAACCCGTACTTGTACACCGCAATTATAACGAATCGTAACAACAATTACAGGAAAACCCGGTGGAACGTTTAACGAAGTAACTCGAACAATTTCCAGCACTGCTACCGCTGCTTTTCGCGTTAACCTGGGAAAATTCGAAACCATTCTTTTCATCAATTCCGAACCGTATTTAAATAGAAGAATCAACGCACAAGGCGGTTTCGCGGATTCCCCCCACTCGACCGGCACGAAAGCTGGATGATTCGGCGATTGTACGGGTAGATTCGCCACCGGACAGGTGTAATCGAGGTTCCGGGAGGCCGTCGTTCCCTCCCCTCTGCGAGCCACTCAAATATTACGAGTCGAGCGAATCGCGGGCGTTTCGTTTCGTTGGATCGGGTTCATTGTTTTCAACGAGCTCGCGGCCGTTTGTACCGTTCATTACCAAACGATGTACGTAAATTCTCGCCCAACGATGTTGTTTACGTTTTTCGAGAGCCCGCTCCAACGAATAAACCCCCCATCCGCCCACGCCCTCTCTTTTGCACGACTCCATCCCCCGCTCTTCGTCGATGAGTTCATAGCTGGGGGAGAGTCGTTGCTCCAGTTTCCTTTTGTAACGGTAATTCCTTTTCATATATAGATAATAAGTTTTGATCCCCCTCCTTTCCCTCCGTTCGGTTTATGGAAATTTTCGAATTTGCAGATTCATCGATTGTTATTGTCCCCTCCCCCCTACCCCTTCCGACGATTTATTAAACGTTCCGTTTCGGAAATTTACCACCGATAGGAACGGGTTTTCCGTATCAGCACGATGAGCGTATTGTTATTTGAACGCTCGCGATCCCCCCCCCCCCCCCCCCAACCCAACCCCCGGCCTCTTCGCAGCCGATGGAACCTCGTAAAGTGTTATGCTAATTAACTCGGTGCCTCGTTAACAGTTCCATACGTATTACGTACACACCGCGGGCAACGGTTGCGCTCGAATGCTTCGATCTCGCCTCGACTCGTTTCAAAGACCGCACCGAAAACGGTTCTAGGATTTTATTTTTCTATAAGAAAATAAATATGCCCGCGTATGGACGCGTAACGGACATAATTTTTCACGTTTAATCATTTGGATGCCACGAGCGAACGGCGCCCAAAAAATCGGACGTGTATTCCGTGCCATTTGTGTTCGATCGAAAAACGAAAGCCTGCAGCCCGAAACCTCTTTTACTTCCGCTCGTTGTTGACATTTTCCTGTATCTTGATATTTTGAGAGCCGGAATGCCACGCAGATACAAGAGTAGACCATTTTTATTGACAAAGGTAAACACGGATTCATTTTATTATTCTCCGTTTCGTTGAACGCGAGCAAACAACGTTTCGATGGTTTCTTCGAATTTTAATTTACGTTCGTAAGAAGAGAAAGGTTCTTCCCATTTCTACTTCTCGTAAAAGAGATCGAAAACGTACGAGTGGAACGCGATGAAACGATAATTGCGTCGCGCTTGTAATTCTTGTCTATTTAAAAGAAAATATCGCATAGTGCTACGCGCACTACCAACCTACAACGCGTAAGATCGTACTTTTAACGATCCAGGGTGCGAGATTATCCATATTATCCGATGTATCGCGAGCGATTCACCGATCCGATGCACGAAACGAGAACAAAGGCAGAATTCGATATGTCAAGTTTTTTTATTTGCTATTCGACTCTTTTTTCCACTAATCAAATAATACCTGTACATTCGCGGTATTCGAACGGCGCGATGTCAATTGTAAATACATCATTAATGTCCCCGAAGCAAATATTTTAAACAGCGCAAATATTACACGCGAATACCTTCTTACTCGAGCAATAATCCCGGAACGAGGGTATGGAAATAACATTATTCGACCGTTAAAATAGCCGAAATTTATTCGCGGTAACCAAACCATCCGCAAAATTTTCGTGTATTAAATTCTCTGGAATAATCCCAGCCGTGGGTAAAACCCATGGCTCGCCGAGCGAATCGAAAAGACAGAACAAGTCATTGTAAATTGTAACGGTTGCTTTTTATTTTCCATGGAAACGCAATTTGCCAAGATTCCCGAATATGGACACGGTACTTTTATTTTCCTTGCGCGTCTACACGTATATATATATATATATATATATATATATATACATTATTTTTTTTTATCTTCGTACGAATATTTACCATTGCTCCCTTGACAAATTTCGCGTTTCACTCTTGGAAGGGGAAGAAGAACGGAGATTCCATTTAACCGCGGATAAGCGAATTTCCGGGCAATTCGGTTTCCAGAGCTGGCGAAATAAATTCGTTGGCCGAGGGAAAATGAGATCCCCCAGTCCTGTTTTCGCCTAACGAGCGGACACGGAATGAAAATTTCACCCGTAACCGTTACAACTTACTTCGTTCGATTTCGTTACTTCCTATTCTGCTTTTATTTTCTCCCAACCCTCTTCGTCCGTCTTCTTCTCCTCATATTTATTTAAAAAAAAATTTTTTTTTATTTCCCGTTTCGTTGCAGGTGATCAACTACGACAGCCCCCGGGGCGGTGTATCGGTGATCACGGAGAAAGGAGAAGTTACAACCTCGTATCTCCTGGTGCAGCGTGCTCAGGCTGCAGATAGCGGACAGTATACCTGCCACCCTAGCAACGCTAATACAAAGACCGTCTTGGTGCACGTTCTTAACGGTATGTACGTAAGTTTGCGGCAAGTTTAAATCTGTCTCTCTGCCAGAGTTCTTCCCCCTGCCACCCTTCTTTCAACCCCTCCATCGATCATCGTCGAGACCCTTTATTTCGGTTTCTCGACGAGAAAAAGCAAACTGATAATAATTAGCGAGGCATGAATTATGCAGATACCCGGTAGCGAGTGCCTAGAGTAACAAAGTTCCCGACATCAACCGTAACATACATCAAGGCAAAGCCCGTAATTCCGAACAATGGGGCTTTGTCCCGTGAAGTTTCTTTTTTCCGGCCCGGTAAACAACAAACCTCCGCGGGATTGCTTTTTAGAGAATGTAATACACTTCGCCACACGGGATATCTTACTTTTTATTCGAGCAAATTACGTAAGCCCACGGTCGCAACTGTAAATTTTCCACCAATTCGGCGCACCTGGCGAATATTGTTACCGAGCGTGGCTCTTTCGTTTTGGACAAAATTACGCGTAACTTTATAAGACGTGTAAAAAAATTGGTGACAAATGTTCGAATCGATACTTGGAATGGGTTTCCCTCGTTTTCGGTTATATTCGCCAAATAAAAGATCGGAAATACGCTATCGGATCGATGGAATATTCTCTTTTAATTCCCCCTACCCCCCGTCGAACAGCGGAGCGCGGTTCCTTTTCGAGAATATGCGTACGGAATAATAACGAAAGTTTCGATACGAGCCTTTGATGATTCGCAGCGTATCATTTTCGGTGAATAAGTAAAAAATTCATTTAGTTGATGAACGCTGTACGGTGCTCGTAGCGCCTAATTTTAATATTTAACACGTTGATCGTCACGTCAGCCTTACGCAGTCAATGTAACAAGTAGACTGCGGATCTTTATGGAAAATAAAATATTCGCGAACGTTCCTATAAAAATTGAACCTAAATAGGAATTTATTTTATTCTGAAAATGTTATAACACGAACTTTACTTTGAATCTTTTTTATATTCTTGCGTATTGTTTGCATTTTGTAGTTTCTTGCACATTCAAATTTTCTATAAATGCATAAAGATCCGCGGTCTGGTAGTAAGTATTCGTACAGGAACCAATTCGAAATAAAACTTCACGTATTTATTTTATTAATAAATTTCAGGGAAAAAAATAATTAACCAACATTCGTACATAGCTTTAGAATAGAATTTTCGTAAATCAAAGTTTATTACTTTTAACGTTAACCTCTTATTTCTATTCTGATTAGTTTCTATTTTAAATTGATTGCTGTACGAATAATTCTTACACTGACTGTACGAATGACAATTCTCTTTCGCCGAAGAACTGAAAAAATGAATTCTGAAAGTCGAGCATCAAAGGAAATGAATTTAAACGAACTTCATGAATTTCGATGAAGTTACAGACACAAATACCACTATTCAATGTTTGATTACGTAACCTGGCAGTGAACGTGTTAATAAAGAGAAATCAATAAAATATGATCGAGAGAAATCGCCACGAGTAAAAATCACTTTCGTTCACCGATCGAGGGGACATTTTTCGTTCCCACGCGATTACGTTATTTAACCTAACGAGTACACCAAAGCCGTATAATTAAAAAAAAAAATATATATATATATATATATCTACATCCCATCGGTCGCAAATTGGTCAGAAAATTTCATTAATCCGCATCGACGGAGCTCCGCGTCGCATCGCGTTCAACGTGATTTCAATTTTTCCTCCCGTTCGATGGCGCGGGGTCGGGGTCCCGGGGATGGGGGATGTCGCGCCGTGAGATTATCCGAGAAAAGTCGAATTAACAAATACTTGCCGAACGGAAGGAGGGAGTGTGCAAGAGGGGAAGAAAGTTCGCCGAGGCGAGGGTGAGATTTCGCGAGTTTTCTATTAACTGGTTCGCTAATGAATTCTCGTTAAAAACTGCTTCGTTGTCGTAATCGTGTTTCTCTACAAAACTGCCGAGCTCTCCTCTCCCGTCCTCTTCGTCTCTCCCTCGGTTTCGCCGCCGCCCGCACAACCACCCCCGAGTTAAAAGAAAAAAGCGCGGCAGTATTTCATAACACGCCTCGACTGGGTGCGTTTTCGCGAGGGTTTGGCGAAGGGATGACGGCGAGGGGGATGGAGGTCGGCGAGAGGGGTGGGCCACGGCCCCGTTTACAAAACGAATGAATCCGATCGCTCTCTTGGCAGGAGATAACAGTCTTAGCAAAAACCATTCAACCGAGCGAGAAGAGTAATTAAAGAGATTTCTCGTGGTGCAACGGGGGGGGGGGGGGCGGGGTGCCTCGGCCATTGTTGCACCGCCCAGCAAAACCATGCCCCACGGTAGCCCTGGAAAGTAGAATTCGGGTTTAGAGGGAGGGGGGAGGGGGTGTAGGCGAGAGATGGGTGGAGAAGGATATGTCTGACAGAGAAAGATAAACGTCTGTCGGCGTCTCTGGCGCATGGGTTTATCATAAAATCGATATACAGGATGGTCCACCGACCGGTTGCCACCTTAAGGGGTTCCACGACACTGCAACTACCCCCCTCCAAAAAGGGCTGTTACGTTCAGAAATTCTTTACGAACAAACTATATAGCGAATCGTTTTCAAAGTTTCGTTATATTCTATTTATAGAAAAAGTTCGTGTAGCAGATTATCAACGTAGTAGTTAACGCGGCAGTCGTTACTGGACCACCCGGTATACCCGCCGGGTACCAGGGAAACAATTCCAATAAGACGACGGATGCCACGACGGAATTCAATTTGAATTTTAATCATTGATCCGCAGGGGAACATCCAGCAGCCATGCAACACGGTGGTCAACTAAGGCTGGCGAATCTACCCTTCGTAATGATCTCGACAACCCTGCTGGCTTTCCTCAACCATCGCTATTGAACGAACGTTCCGTGGGATCACGAATACATTCATTCTAGACATTCTTCGGTAATCTCACCTATAACAATTAAAACAGAACTAATCGACGAATGATAATTGTTGCTATTTTCATCTTTGCAGTTTCAGTGCCAGATTTTCTTTTTGTATTAGGTTGTCCAGAAAATTCGTGGCAATTTCTAAGAAACGTTCGAAAACACGTTTGAATTTTAATATGTATATATATATATTTGTTGAATTACATACGTGCCATTTTGTTCCACGACCTTTCCATCTTTCAAGGGATGCACCCACGTTATTTGTTTTCAACCACTTCGATATATTCGGACCTGTACCACTTACCAAAAATCGGCATGGACTTTCCAGACAAACTAATATTTATACAAAAATATATATACCATTTCGTTTCACGACCTTTCCACCTTTTAAGGGATGCACCGATGTTATTTGTTTTCAACCACTTCGATATATTCGGACCTGTACCACCTACCAAAAATCGGCATGGACTTTTTCCGGACAACCCAATACAATTGGAAACTATGTGTATCAGGGAGACCAGAAAGTAATATCGTTTCTGCGAGTGGCAATACTTGTTTATCGTCTATCGGCTCGTTGTGTACCAATTGATTTTTATCGATCAGGTATTAAAAATACGCACACCAGATAGCAAAAGGTTGTTGATAACGAGTCCGATTACATACTCGATTAAAAATAAATACTTGTTTAGATTTATGTGTTTGAATTTAATGTAAAAAAAAGAAAAACAACGACATTACTTTCCGGTACCCCTAATGCATACGTTCTCACGTTTGCGTAACATTTAGTTTTACGAACCCGATCAAAATTCACGAATTCTCTCCATCCTAAGAATTAATTTTTTAATTCCTTAATGAAAGTCCCCGTCGCCCATATCAACGTGTCGATACAATTTTTTCTCTAGATCTCACGTTTTTCCCCACGATCTATAGATCGAGGAGCACTGCTTGAAAAAGTTTCGCGACCCAGACTGTATATCTCTAATAGTTGCGTGTCCGTTTCTGACGTTTTCAGATTAAATTGCGTCGTCAGTGGTAGCTGCTTTCCGAAAACCGATTAGCCGACGGGGAACTGTGCCTCTACGGCTAACGAGAAGTCACAGCCGTCGTGAAAAATACGCGTCGCGGGGAAGAGAGACATCGGTGAGAAATAGGACGGTAAAGTGATCCTTGCTGCGTTGTAGTTCGAAGGAGATAAGAAAAAAAAGTATATAGTATATAGTATATATAAAGTATATAGTATAAAGTATATATATATACTATATATATATACTATATATACTATATATACTATATATACAATATATATATATATATAGAGAGAGAGAAGGGGGATCCGCGATGAAAGAAGAAAGAATATAAAACGATGACGGTGGAATTGGACCAGACTGCGGCACGATCGAGTGCTGAATGTATTATAAGAATAGTAGTCTGTTGTAACGAATAAAATAAGAGATAACATTGTACAGGGTGTTCTACGATTGAACGATCAAACGGCGGCAATATATTTTATGGCTAGAAATAAGAATGAAATGTTGCATAACCGTAGATCCATAACGCATTCCACGAGACGATAAGGTTGGATGTAACCTAGAGCTTCCGACGTGATTCAAATTTCAAAATTTTACCGTAGTTATAGATTACGGAGAGAAACGACCTACAGCGCTTTTTGTTCGTTTATCATTAACCGCTTCATCGTCTCGTGGAACGTACTACGATAGTGCTTTATTAAATTGTTGTAACGAAAAAGATTTTTTGATCCGAGTCAACTTCATCGCTTCATTCGACCGATCCTATTCCCCACGCGTATGTTTTCGCTGTAACTTTCTAATAAAGCATCGCTGGTCCTACGTTCGCTTCCGTCGTGTTTCTACGCGTGAAACGTATTGGAGCGGTTCGATCTTGATTCTAAGACACCCTATATAAAAAAAGCAATCGATGGTAAAACGAAAAAAATAATAATATAATAGTTCGTTGAAACGTATGGTTCGATACTGGAACAAAGGGGAGAGTATCATTTTATTTGCTGTGTTGTGGTTTTAAGACAATACATTGTGCTTGCCAAAGGAAACGTACGAATTATCGTTGAGAAACAAATAAGATTTTTAATCGTTCCGTTATCGCGGCGTTTACCGTTACGGTATGTAGGCTATGTTAAAGTTTAAAGCGAAAGGAGTGGCAGAAATTCGGTTGGTTGCGTTAGGGATGAACGCCAGGGGCGTGAAAATGGTCTTCCACCGCGTAAATTGAGAGTTCGGATTAGGGGGAAACCAAATAAATCTGGATTATCTTCAAATTCGATCTGGATGTCCAGCGAGTCGCGGTTTCTGGATGGAAATAAACAATATATTTCGCGCGGGAAACGCAAGTAGACACAGGGCAAGATTCAGGGCTGGCGTTGGGATCGGACGAACGTTGATTTAAGAGGGTAACCCAATTCTTTCAAATATAAGACCCACAAGAAAATTTGTATATACTTTATTTAACAACCTTTCAACCCTTGCTTGGTAGTTCCAGTGTTAACCACTATGGCCTAAAGGAGTCGCGTGTCCTTAAGCCGGCCCTGACGTGACGTTGACATCGAGAAAAAGCACAGCAATCCGTTCTTTTTCTTCTGTTAATTTGTTTCGTCTACTAATACTACGCGACTATTAGGTTGTCCAGAAAGTTCGTGGCAATTTCTAAGAAAAATTCAAAAACACGTTTGAATTTTAATATACATTTATTGAATTACATAGGTGCCATTTTGTTCCACAACCTTTTCACATTTTAAGGGATGTAGATTGCCATGTCACCCATGTATGGGTTTCACTCAACAACTAAAAAGATTAATTCTGAAAAGTTGACATCAAAGGAGATGAATTTAAATGAAATTCATGAATTCTGATGTAGTTAGAAAAATAAATACCACGATAAATGTTTGATCACATAGATTTCAGTAGTCTAAATAATATTTAATATTAGCAGAAATTTTTAAGAATATTCGTTTGCCGGTCAACGTGTTAAGGGACGTATACATGTTATTTGTTTTCAACCACTTCAATGTATTCAGGCCTGTACCACCTACCAAAAATCGACATGGACTTTCCGGACAACCGAATATGTATCTAAATCTAAAACGAAAGAACCGTCTCTTCGAGAAAATTGAAAAATGTATACTGGGCTACGTTCATGCTAGGATCATATGGAATTATTTACGAAAGGTATACCGAACTATCCCAGCACAGAGTAAACGGCTGACACGATCCACAATTTTGGGCATCCGAGCTCAGGGTATACTTCCACACCGTGAACGGTGACGTAGAACAAAACGCAATTTATAAAGTGTTCATCGTATATTACGCATTTCGTTGTCGGTGTTCACACACAGCATCGTAAAAATAATGCGAGAAACGAGTTGTTAGAGTTGTACTAACTATACCTACGTTGTATAATACTTGTAAGTCAGATTACATTTACCGTGGCTGCTACCGAGCGAATAATTTTTTATCTGTCGACGAGCAAAAACACGAGTCGAGCTCAAAAGATGCATTGAGATACCAAAATTGGACGCGTGGACCTAAATTGAAATCGTTCCAATCGGACCAGAATAACGACTGTTGTTATTTTATTTAGATAAGTTTTCAACGAAGCGTCGTCGAAGTCTGGTTTTCCTTGTAACCGCCATGAGTGAATAACGAGTGAATGGGAAAACAATTGGAGCAATGGAAAACGGGCGAATGACGAACCAAGATTTCATTAATCAAAATAAAGGAATAAATTCTAACGGTTACACATGTTCATAGATTAATTGCGAGTTAGTGTAAGATCTCGTTATACCAAAACCTGTGTAAAATGCTGTTTCTGTTGTAGCTGAAATTCTTTTATGTATTTACTTCCCAATATTTCTCCGATCACCTTTTACCGGATTGAAATAAAAATGGTCAATCCGTAAACCGGACAGAATAATTTATAATATTAATAATAAAATTTTATCACATACGACAACCAAAAATTTCATCCCTCGTTAATGGTAACTGGTCTCACCTTTTACTCGTGTAATTAAACAGTTTTCAGAGGATCCGCGTCCCTTAAGGATACGCTCACTTTCACAGATTTGTTTAGCATATCATGCAAGGTGCAAGAAAACGATTTTAGAAAACCACGCTCGGAATCGGAATGGTTCGTTAATATGACGTTGACTCCCTTGTGTACCGCATCGAGGACATCGTGGTGCAACATCTCCCCTGTGAGGTACAGATCGGCGGACTGATCCTTCAAAACGGTTGCCCCAGACCCAGCGCAAATTGCAACAGTGCTGATCAAACCATCTGGAGTGCAAATAAAATGTCAATATTTCAAATTCGCTTGAAAAAAAAAAAAAAGAGAAAATGTAACTCGATACCTGTTTGACGAGCACGCGCCAATCTCACGTGTTCCAAGCCGGTGAGCTCTTTCACCAATTCCACAGCTTGCTCGATAGCGATTTTCTTTTTCAAAGTGCAGAATCGTCCGAAACCATACTCGCTATTGGTTTCATTCGCTTCTATCGGTTTGCTACTGCTAAGTACTTGTATCACAGGATATCATTAATTACAAAGCGATTAAAAAAACTCTAGAGAACTTATCGTTTTAAATTTACCATGTTTGAATGCCGATGCCAACCAATCGTTTACGCCACCTTTTACCGAATCGAAAGTGGTATGCGGTGAATACACAGCTATTTTGTTTTCTAAACATTTGGCCACGATTCTCTCCTACAAAGGAAACAATTTCATAAAAACCTTTCGGTACTTTCTCGTAAATTTATTTCTTACCTTCCACGATCGAGTTGTTACAGACTTCATTGGTGCGAATATCAACGGATGATACGTAACGATCATGTCAATTTTTAAATTTAAGGCTTCGTGCATCACATCTTCGGTTAGATCGTTCGTTAAAAGTATATGCGAGATCAGTTTTTCTTCCGTAGGTTCGACGAGCAGTCCCACGTTATCCCATGATGCTGCGAGGGGTAGATCAGCAAACGTTTTCAACGCGTCTAAAACTTGTGTCAGAGGAATCCCAGCTGTATTAGGATTTACTCCGCTCATTTTACGCAGGATGTAGTAATCTTTCGCTATGGTATAACTTAAACTTTTGTAGCCACGCGCCAATCCAGTGAAATGCCTAAACATTTATGTAAACCTAAAATCAGATACAGTTCAACATAGACATAGATTTAACCAGCGGTTATATTGCATTTCGTGCTAAGAAGGTATTAGATTCTAGTAAAATGAACTTCCATTCTTTTAAATATATTTATTATTACAAAATATAATTACATAAAACTCTATTTATATTATTCGTTATAAAACCAAATTTTCACTAATCCATCGTCACTCGCCGATGCAAGCTGTCCAGGGGTTGTAGGATTCCACTGTACGCAATTCACGTCTTGCGTGTGGGCAGTTTCCATAGAACAAACCATTGTAAAAGATGATTGATGAATAGTAGAATCGCTATCCTCTTTAAATATTCTAATTATGTCATCGCCACACGCAGTTACTATTAAGCCGGTCGTTTTGCACCAATCGATATCGTAAACTGCTCTTGTGTGATAACCAGATAACGTGCATACACATTTCCAAGTCGGTTCGTTGTTTGGTGTAGCGATACCGAGATCATTGCCAGGTTTATACTCCTGCCATATTTTCACTGTTTGATCATCGCTACAAGTCGCTATCCTAGTCCCAGTATTATCCCACGAGAGACTCCAAACTGTAGATGTATGAGAAGATAATGTTGCCACGCACGACCAGTCGTTATCCGCTGCATCCTCTTTGAATATCTTCGCCGTATTGTCGTAACTGGCGGATGCCACGATTTCTTCTGTAGGATGCCATCTTACCTATAGACAATGCAATTGATCAACCATACAATATTAGTAGTTTAAATCTATTTTATTACACTTCTGTTATTTTCAATGTAGTTAATGCATAGTTAACATCACAATTATAATTACTACATAATACCTACTTACCTTCTTCACATCTTGAGTATGAGCATTGATAACAGCAGCACACTCATATTCATCCTCGTTCACTTCCCATATCCAAACAGATTTGTCTCTACTGCATGTAGCCAACAATTGCCCGCTGCAGGACCAACTAACACTTTTCACTTCGTTCTCATGACCCTCTAAGGTCGCGTTACATTCAAATTGTCCTGACTTTTTGTCCCACACAGCTGTGGTCGCGTCAAAACTAGCAGAAGCTATGTAATTCCCACAAGGAGACCATGCTATTTCTCTAATTGTTCTTGTATGTCCTTCGGTAAGGATAGTTTTGGAAACCCATTTTGGTTCTTGCGGTCCCCATATTATAATTGTTTTGTCTTCGCCGCAAGATGCTATGCAAGTACCCTTTGGATGCCAACAAACATTCCACACCCTTCCTCTATGACCACTCAAAGTTTGTTTTAATTCCAACGTTCCCATCTCTACCTGTAACAATACAACGACTCTTTAAATTTGTACATGGTCGTTCTTTAACACTGATTGCTACAGAAGGAAAGCCTGTTTGTCAACAGATTTTTTGTGGCAAACTTGTAACAATTATTACAAATATCGATTGGGAGATACGGGTGTGAAATGTTTGATCGCGTTTAATATCGAAAACAAGCTCGTTATGCAGCACAAATGCAAATGATTAACAAACAGAGATTATAAATAATAATATCCTCAGAAATAGTCTGTGAATAGAGGTGTATGCGTTGGACGAAAATTAAAAGACGTTTTACTAAGCAACAAGCGTGTCATGTCTTTTATTTAGTATATTACATTAGTTTACACTTACGATAATCGTTTTGACGGTACTCTGTTCCCAGGTTACAACAAAATGAATTGTTGAAATGCGTAATTATGCATGTACTTTGCAATCACTTATCACAAGTTGGTGAATACAAATGATAAAAAAATGTATCCTTGGTGAAATACCACGTGCACCGTGTAACCACGAATCAATTCCCGTCAAGACGAGAAGTCGTAAAAAATACGAATAAATTTCGCTTATGTGAAATAATTTGATATATGCTTGATTTTGTGGAAGATGATGTTTTATTGTTGCTTGGACAAGTAAAATAATATTGATAATAAATAAATTGAATCGAATCTACATTTCATACAAGATAAACTCTAGCAAACTAGTAACTCTCATGCATTACAGTTTTGCTATGTAATTAGATAAAGAAATAAAAGAAAGTATTGCAAATACAAATACATTTAAAGAACAATGAATAATAATACATTAAATGAAAAGTTCTTAGAAGTGGAGAAGTTTACATATTCATATTTATTGTTTGTGACTGTTACAGTGTATACTTTCTAAAACAAAAGAAGTTTCTTATTTGAGACAATTTTCGCTCTGTAAAAATGATTAACCTTAATGTTTAACATAAATTAATTATAAAAATACGAACATTTTGTTTACTCTTGCGAGAATTTTTCAAATTTTGTTCAACTCAGTAGCCATCTCGCGGTGAATAGGTGTAACTAAAATTCCGACCTCCGTACAGCGCACCACCGGGAAAATGCCCAAGTTTGTCCTCGATTAGTTCCTGTTTATGTCGCTAGATGGCGTGTATTTACCGACATGATGGTAACTTACCAACAGGTCGGTAAATACTTTGAAAATAGCGCCATCTAGCAATGAAAGCAGGAACTAATTGAGGACAAGCTTGAGCGTTTTCCCGATAGAAGCGCTGACCATACTCCTAATTAGTTTGGTGGGTTCACCGCTAGATGGCTACTAATATGAGCTAAAATACCGGGAACCCACAAGAGAAACTGTGATAATTTAAAAGTTTAAAAAAGAAGAGTATTATTATACAAATCAGGTAAAAATGAAATAGCAAATGATGATGGACAAAGTAAAACGGATTTTGCTAAATTGTTGTCGCTTGAAATATTACTTTATACATTTATATATTTTTTATCTTTATTGGATCTTAATTTGTTTCTTAATACATACAAATATAAAATAATTAAATTATAATTTATTCATAACTATATGCCACTAAATACAGTAATTATCAATCTGACACTGTATTGTACGTTGTAGATACCGATAATCCATCTGAATCCGTTATAGGCAGCATTCGATTACACGAATCAGGTGTTCTAAAAAGTTTAAAACAGAAACCATAATTTGATTAACAGCCATTTTTTTTGTCAAGACAAGTCCATACTTACACATCTTTCAAGAGGTGCAGAACATGTTTATGTTCAATTCCTTCTAACCATAAGTTTAATAATTCCTCCCGTTTGCATCTCAGTAATTGTTTGCACGCATTCAAATTTTCTTTGACCGCATGGATTTTCTCTCTGGAAGCTGTAACTTTCTCTGATAAAGCACTGAATATCTATAGTAAAGAAAAATAATATTGATACTGTTGTCATATGAAAACAATCATTATTTTATATTACAGATCGATAGACTTACGTGCATAACTTCTGTGAGATCTTGATCATGTAATGATACCAACTCATCAAGCCTTTGATCGCTTTTTTTATATTCTTTCTCAAGTTTAGCTTTCTCTATTTCTCGTTGTTCGTTAGTTTCGCTGGCTGACAGAGCACGAATCACAGAAATTAGTAAACCACTCTGCAAGGAACGTCGAATTAAAAAGATACATAAACAGAAATTGATAGAACTTACCGTTTCTTTGGTAGGCTTAATCCCTCTCGGAGGTTTAGTAGGAGGTATTGAATTCATTTTTTATTATTTACAGAAGAAATAATAAAAACCAAATGTTAAACTTCACAATGCTATTCTTTTCATCTACGCAAATAAACAAACGTCTTTGCGTACTATAAATCACTTACTTCATAGGTTATGTTATGTTACGCATAGTTCGATAAAACGCGTACAATTCTAGATGCAATTTATTAAAATATTTATCATAAATAACTACAGATGCGCTAACTATTTATCTCTAGAAGTGATTATTGTCTTTATCACTGACCATGAATAACGATGGTTGAGTGACATTAGGTAATATGATAGCTAACACACACACACACACACACACACACACATTCGTACATTCGATATATATTTTTGAATAGTATCCTACGATAAAGGTTGAATGCTTTGTGGTATTAATAATATAAAAGTGATTTATCCAAATAATCGTAACAATTCTTTTTATTAACATATGATATACAACTTAGGATATGTATGTTTCTTAAAGTATTGTCTTTAATCGAAAAAAAAAAGTGTTTACATATTCTTCAACGAAGTTGTTTCTCGATCTTATAGTCGAATCTAATAGCGGAAAACATGCGATTGTTATCGTTTAATAAAAGTATCACAGAATTCATCATAAAATTTTATCATGTGGTACTTTCATATTAAGGCCTAGTATGCGTCACTTTACATACGATCTTCGATATATTTTCTTCGAAATCAAATACAAAAAAAAATATTATGCTACATTGCGTTAAGAAACGTTGATAGAAAATTTTTAATATCAACTCGAGTCGTCTTAATTTACTTGTACATAAAGGTTCGAAATTTAATGTATTTTTGTATTGAAATTTTACAACCACTTTGTCGATCTATTCATCTGTACAATACGAGAATAATATCTGTACGCACTGTTGTCAACATTCTGATAATTACAATATATAAAAATTGTAGTACAAATGTTTCACCCTTGTATTCGAGAGATCCTAACATGGTTGGTAATACATACCTACCTATTTATCCTACATTTTTTTTTATTTAATAATAACATACTAAATAAAGCATTCGAAGACGTGAACTTAAATTAACGATTATCCACACCATATAGATTATCAAGCTATTCTTGTTTTAAATACCAATAACTCAGGAACCAAGTACAATAAAAAGAAAAAACAAATGAGTGTACTCAATGCGTAATAAATTAGATAATAGCAATGTCATAGACCATTTAGGAATGTATAATGTAAATAAAGGTTAGATTATTTATGTATGATTACTTTCGGACAAATAACTATTGTTTTAACGTGATAAAATATACATTAAAATGTAAGGCTCCATGGTAACTTTACATTTGCGGTAATTGATCGATTGGCGTTGCAAATCTGAAATCTTCTGGGAATAACTTTCCTGCGTGAGGATACATTAATTTGTAAGACTGTCTAATCGTAACGTCTGCTACACCAGCGATGTCGCCAATTTCCTTTTGAGATCTTTTATCTTCGGAAGCCTGAATAACAATGATGCAGTAAGAATTATGTACATAAAATACTTCATAATTTTATGTACCTGTGAAGCCATGTATATAGCCGCAGCTGCTACCGAAATTGGCGATCTTCCAGGTACAATATCAATTTCTACAGCTTTCCTAGCGATGTGCGTAGCAGCTCTTTGTACCATATTTGGAAGACCAAGAGTAGAGCAGAACCTGGACATGAAGTCTCCCGTAGTGATAAGATCCACGCTAGTTTCGAGTGCTTTCAAGATCAGTTTGAAACATCTTCCGATTTCTTTCTTGCTGATTTTGCTAACTGCGCAAATTTCTTTGAAAGTACGCGGAACACCTTCCTGTCTGCAAGCTATGTACAAACAAGCAGAGGCGATGGCATCGTTCGCGCGGCCTTTCAAATTTTTACCATCGTGTACTTGTTTAAATAAGTTATTAGCTCTATCAACAATGGTTTTTGGTAAATTGATACGATCAGCCATTCCATTAATTTCACGAAACGCATTGATCAATGCTCTATCGGAACTGCTCATCTGTAAATATTATAATCTGTATATAACTCTTAATTCAATAACAGCAACAAATATCTTTGGAATAACTAATATTACGCTTACCGTACGTCTGTTTTGATATTTTGAAGCACCAAAAGCATCGAATGAAGCTGCTCCAGTTCCTGGACCTATCATGGTGGATAAATCAGAACCATTGAGAAGCGGATTTTCTGGCCCACCGACACGCGATGGATCGACACCTGCCTTCTCATTACTAAATGTTCTCCATTCAGAACCAACATCTATAACTCTATTAAAAAAAAAAAATTAAGGTCATCTCAAAATTCAGAATATAAAATTTTTCTACACTCTGTATTTACCTGTCTCCTACAACTAATCCACACTCTGAACAAATTTGGTCCCCAGCTCGATAGTCTTCGATAAGCGGTGCATCTGGATGTGCATAACAGCAAACTTTGTTTGTTTCATGTCTGTAAGAAATAACTAAGAAAGTGTATACTACATATTAATGCAAGTACGTGCATATATCGAATACTGTTTTCACAAATATATCAGACTTTGGAATTAATTCATATTACAGGTAAAAAACTATGCACTCGAGTGTTCAAATATTAAAGTGCCATTACGCATCGTTTTGTTTTATATTTACTTTACAATGTGCAATGCATAGACTTTATATTTTTGTTAATTAGGGTCAATATTCTAACTCGATATATACTTCGATTACTTCATTTTTCATCGTAGACACATTTATAAAATAAAATAAAAATTATTAACTATCCGAATATTAAAGTTACTCACTGTAAACCTAAGTGTACCGAAACAAAATGTACTTGATCGGATAGTTAATCGACGATCGTGTCAAAAATAAACAAACACTGTCAGATTTCATAACCGTAACGCACGAGATTGTTACACATCCGATTAATTCGATCCGATATTATGTTACATCACTTTAAAAAACAAAGCACTAGGACAAGTGCCGTTAGGGTTAGTCGAAAAGTTTCGAATAAAACTCCCACAAAATTTACCTTGACGAACTTGCCATATTTCGGATTCGTGTGTCTTCTCTGCCGCGTATGTCAATGCAGCACTAACCAGGAGCTGCTCACTCGATGCAACTCAATGCTTTTAGATAGGATAGGAGCGATAGGACCCAGGGGCTGCTCACTGCTGCTCACTCGATGCTTTTAGATAGGACTGGATACAGGGCCGGCGTTAAGGGGGGCGCAGAGATGGGCAAAATTCTAAACTTCGAATAAATCTGAAGTTTGCTGATATGTTTGTCTCGTTTCCTCTTTTGAATATTTTCGAAAGAAGGAAACGGGACAAACATATCGGCAAACTTCAGATTTATTCGAAGTCTAGGATTTTGCCCATCACTGCCGGGGCGTCAGATTTTTGGGGGCGTCGCAGTCCGGTGTCACTAGTATACGAATATACCGATATACAGAGTGTCCCAAAAATGTTGTAATACCTTGAAAGGGGTGGTTCGAGAGGTGATTTGAAACAACTTTTTCCTTAGCGAAAATATTGTCCGAGGTTTCGTTGAGGAGATATTAACGGACAACACTGACCAATCAGAGTGCGTAGCCTACGCTTCCGTGGCCGCTCCATCGGCATCCTCGCGCTCTGATTGGTCGGGGTTTTCTGTTAATATCTCCTTAACGAAGCCTCAGACAACATTTTCGCTAAGGAAAAAATTGTTTCAAATCACCTCCTAAACCACCCCTTTCAAGGTATTACAACATTTTTGGGACACTCTGTATATACCCCTGAAGGGGCGCCACGTTAATCTTGCTCGGGCCGCCAATATTGCTAAAACCGACCCTGACTGGATAAGACCGAATTTTGTTCATTGAGCTCTATCCTAGAGCTTGCAGGACTGCTCGATACCAATGTAAAAGTATAAAATTAAGTTTCTAGAGTGCCATGATCACATCTTTTTATTGTAACCAATTTATCACGTGTAATTACAGTGAAAACGGTTACAAGAATAGTTGAATTTACATTTCCGCCAATACCATTCGGTTATTATTTTTATTTACATTATGGTATCACATTAGTGCCATCAATTCTCGAAATTTTTGTTTTGTTATACTGTCAGTTCCAAATCCTGCAGGCTTTGACAAAATAGGTGGGAGATCTAAGACCTAAGTGAACTACATACTTCTACCCTACAGTGCCAAACCTTGTAGATAGATATCCTATTCGTTATCATGAATTATTTCGCAGCGCCATCGGTGATAAACTCTGGAACAAACTGTTCTTGGTCCATTCTGTGTTGGTAACATCGTTCGTGCTACCCTCTACGTTACCGTTTCAATTATCGATCATGGTTGTTCGATTGATAATTGTATTTGTATAATTGTCATAACATATTTTGTAATTTTTGTTCTAAATTATTTAGTAAAACTATCGTATACTCCATTCAATTGCCTAGCCAAATTACGTGTAACATGACTATCTTCTACTGTATTTAATCTATCGTTTTTTTAACATAATAGATACATGATAAATATCAATATGTACGGTGCTGATACATTCGAAAAAGATGTAAATTAAATTTAAATGTTCTCCTGCTCCGATACTCTAACCGTTTATCAACCTGTAGATAAATCTGTGACTAATTATTTTTCAATTTAATATACAATCATCTTTAACAAGTACTCTATATTTATCACGTTTCGATAAGAGTCAAGACAGATAAGACTTGGCGTACAAAATGTTTGGTTGTTGGCTCGAATCGAGGAACGACGATCGAATTGAAATTTTATTATGCGAACTGTTTGACACCCATGAACTTATGGAGCATTCAAGGGACATGCGCCAATCAAAGATCCGTAATCCGCGCCGTGGTGTACGCTTGCGTTGGACAGAAAACCATCCAAGGGAGAGAGAGAGAGAGAGTGAGAGAGAGGGAAACGAAAGACGGCACGCCGTAACGACACGGTCAGTCTTCGACGAACTTTCGGGTGTGATACTGGCGTCGTTCCGGGACCGCTGTGACTCGAGTTTCACGTCGTTCAATTTTCCACTTCGCATCGAACGAGCAATCGTCGTTGACAACGCGTGGAACGATAAGGTATGACAGATCGTTAGCTATTATCGTAAAAATCTCTGTAATTGTGATGGATGCTTGGCATCGTATGCAAATCCACTCGATGCGAGATTAAATTGCGGCGTGAACGAACACACGTGAACTTGTCAATTATCGAAAGCATTAGGTTGTCCCGAAATTTTCTTTCGTTTTATTAATAATTAGTATATACACAATATTTTATGTTTCATGTCACAT